TTAAAACAAAATTTTAACCTCTATTTCTGTGATTTTTCAATTTTTTGTTTTGATTTTTTATGTTTTTGAATTCTTAGTTACTATTTTACTGTTTTTTCTCCTTTTTTGTTGTTTTTATCTTAAAACTTCTTTTAGGAATAAAATATTACAAACATAGTTGAAATCCCTTTCACAATCCCGCCTGATGCCCCTCCCTTCATCCCAGAGAAACTCATCTTGAGTTTATGTATACCCTTCCTGATGAGTTATTTTACTCTGGCTATGAAAGTATGTTTGCATAAAAATATATGTTAGAACTTTAAAAGTTATATGAATGCTATTCACCTTTGATGTGTTTTTCTATGAAATATTATGTGTCTCATATGTATCTGCATTGATTCTATAGATCTAGTCTATTTAAAAATTCCATAGTATATCATGGAATGAATATAAAATGAATATGATTCATTTATTCATTCACCATTGATGGATATTAAGGGATTTCCAGCTTTTTGCTATTCTGAAGAAATGTTGCAATGACCATTCTTTTGTGTCTGCTTGTGGATGAATGTGATTCTCTAGAGTTTATTATCGGAAGAGAAATTTCTGGGTCATATGATATATGATAATACTGAGTATGATAATACTGAGGCTTATTAAATATTGACAAATCAATCTTTTACAGAGTTTATATTCCACTAGGAATATGTGAGGTCCAATTTTACATATATTTTTGCCAGTTCTTTCAGACTGTCCCCCTTTATTTGCTAATCTTATGGTGTTTAATACTATCTCTCTGTGGTTTTAATTTTCTTTTCACTGAGGTTAAACATTTTTACATGTGTGTTGGATATTCAGATTTCATTTTATATTAACTATTTATTTTAATTATTTGATATTTGTGTTTATCTTTTACCAATCAATTTGCAGGTTTCTACATAAATATTCTTAAAACTAAACTCATTTTAAAATATGAGCATCTCGGCCATATGACGCAGCTATCCCACTGCTGGGAATATACCCAGAGGAATGGAAATCATCAAGT